TATTTATTTATTTAAATTGGTAGGACAGTTTCGATAATTAACACATTGCATACTTTCTTCCTAGTGGTTAACTGCTGTACAACATGCAGACATGATATCCTATTTACAAACACTATTAGAACAAATCACTCTACTCATTAAGAGAATGTAACTATATATCTATCCATAACACTTTAACTACACAGATACAAAATGGACATGCATCTGTATCCCCTATTTTTGTTAAGTTCAGTTATTTGAATATTATAGGTATCTAAACTCAGCAAAATATTCTAAAAGAGTCCAGTAGCCCATAATAGTATTGGGTCTTCCACTTGACGGGCAATGTCAAAGTTGTTGACCTGAGTCCCCTACAGCTCAACCTAACACCATGGCTTTACTTCTTATATTTCGTTTTTATACTTTTTTGCTGGACCAAGGTAAAGCAGGACCTATGCAACAAGAGCTGTAGCTTTTGAATCTGATTAGGTCAATGAAATCCCCTCAGGATTTATCCTGAGATACTGTACCTCAGATTGTTTGTCAGTGTCAACCATGTGGATGAGGCACAACCATTGCTTGGCCAATGTGCTCTCTGTGAAAGCCTGAGAGAATGTTTTCTCTCCAGGTAACTCTCCTTAGGCACATTCTATATCATCAATCACTTTGCTCTTTGGCCCCATAATCTCCTTCATGAGAAAATTTGGGACACTACCGAGTTACATGACGATACAGTACAACTACTCATATGTCCCGAGTCTTAATTGACCTTAGAAGGCTAGGGACAAAATGTTGGCTTTCCTTGAAGCCCTCGTTTTTCTCTAATTTTGGTCTGCAAAATTAGGTTGCTAACCATCCAGAAGATAAGCTTATTGTTATTACCATACAACTTAGGCTGTTAAGCTTAACCTCACTATCTGTCTGCCTGTCAAACATCTTAGGCATAATATGGAACGGGTATTTTTCATCAAGTATTGCTATGTTGAACTTTAAGTTCCTACAGAATATGATAAAAAAAACATTGAAAAATTAGAATATATTTTAAAAATAGGCATAAAGAATTATATACTTCACATGTTTGCACAAAAGTCCAAAAATCTCACCATATACAACCTTGAAGCAGGACAGTGCCACAATTTTCCTTTTCCTCTCTCTAGCTTTCCTTCACCACCCCCTTCTTCTTGAACAACCACCTACCTGAGAGACATCATAGCAGCAACTCACATGTCATGACAAGCAGCCCATATTCAGAAGACCAGAATGACAGGCACTCCAAACATGAAACTAGTATTGCAAATTACCATCTGCAGTGCAGTAGCTTAGTTCATAGGTATCAGTATATATAGTTAGTCAGGGTGAGAATCTTTCCAATTAACTACTAGATTAAAAACTCTTCTGAAGTTTCTTAGGATCATTGCCTTGCTTATCTTCTACATATAACTGTATGGCTTGATGTTGTCATGTTTCCTAGCTCTTCTCCTTTCCCTCTCTTGATTAGTTAGTCCTTCAGATCCAGCTTTCCTTTTACTTGTATTATAACTTTCTATTTGTATTTCTTCTTTAGAGTTCTTATACTAGGGAGAGTATATGATATTTACACATGTGTGTCTGGTTTATTTCACTTATGAGCATATGGTCAGGTGGCATCCACTTCAATATAAAGGCTTCGAGTTTATCATTCTTAATAGCTGAATAATACTCCATTGTGTAAAAATACCACCTTTTTCAACCATTCCTCAGGTGATGGGCATCTTGGTTGTTTCCAAGATTTGGCTATCACAAATTGTGCTGCTATAAACATAGGCACACATATATCATTATGGTATGATGTTTTCAGATCATCTGGGAAAATTCCCAGTAGAGGAGTAGCTGGTTTAAAGGGGATTTCCAGTCCAACTTTTATAAGGAGTCTCCATACTGATTTCCATAAAGTTTTACCAGTCTGCATTCCCACAAGCAGTGGAGAAGGGTTCCTTTTTCCCCACAGCCTCTCCAACATTTGTTGTTGGGTGATTTCTTTACGATAGACATTCTTTCTGGGGTGAGATGATATCTCAATGTGGTTTTAATTTGCATTTCACGAATGATGAGTGACGTGGAGCACTTTTTCATATATTTATTCGCTTCTTTAATTCCTTCCTCTGAGAAGTGTGTGTTCATCTCAGATGCCCATTTCTGGATTGGGTCTTTAAATTTTGGGGCCCTAAGTGTTTTTTAGTTCTTTATACATTCTAGAGAGCAGACTTTTGTCTGAGTACTTATTTGTCATGATTTTTTCCAAATTTGTGGGTTGCCTCTTCACTTCATTGTCAATTTCTTTTGATGTGAAAAAACTTTTCAATAAGAGCAGGTCCCATTTGTTAATTCTTTCAAGTGTTTCCCGTGCGAATTGATTTCTGTCCATGAACTCTTTGCCTACCCCTATGTCTTCAAGAGTTCCTCCTAATTTCTCTTCCAGGATGTTTAGTGTCTCTGCTTTAATGTTTAGATCTTTAATCCATTTTGAATTTAGTTTAGTGCACGGTGATAGACCTGGGTCAAGTTTGAGTTCTCAGCATGTGGAGAGCCAGTTTTTCCAACACCATTTGTTAAAGAGGCTATCTTTCTTCCAGTGAGTATGTTTGGCCCCTTTGTCAAAGATAAGGTGGCTGAGTATGTTTGTAGGGGCGTCAGATTCATCTAGTCTATCCCATTGATCCTCAGGTCTATTCTGTTGCCAGTACCATGCTGATTTTATCACAGTAGCCTTGTAGTATAGTTTCAAGTCAAGAATTGTAGTGCTTCCTGCCTTGTCTTTATTGACTAGAATTGCCTTTCCTATTCTAGGTCTTTTCCATTTCCAGATAAATTTTAGGAATGATTTCTTTATGTCTGTGAGGTATGTTGTTGGTAGTCTCATAGGGATTGCATTAAATCTGTACAGCAATTTTGGGAGTATGGCCATCTTCACAATGTTGGTTCTTC